AGCGATCACATAGGAATTTGTCTCAGGTGCACGGAGGGAGAACTTTGAGTTCTGTCTGTCCTTTGTTCACAGGGAATTTCCTGTGGGCAAATTGTGTGGGAGACATGTAGCTGCTTACTTTTGTAGCATGTTGTTTAGGAATAAAATGGGAGGCAGGTTTGCCTGACACAGTTCCCAGCTTGACGTCCCTTTGGCATAGTGACTTTGGAGTCTCTAGATTTATTTTATTTTATTTTTTCACAGAACATAGTTTAGGACACTGTTAACTTAATTCACAGAGAAAGAAATTAAAACCCCAAGAGGCTGCTTGACATCACAGCATGAGTCCAGGGCAGCTCCAGAAAGAAGGAGCAGGGGAAACGAGGAGAGGATGGGGTGTGGGTGGCAAAAAGAGCAGGCGCCACAGGTGATGAGGCGATGATGCCAGTGATGAAGGAGTGAGCGATGCTGACATAAAAAGGCACCTGACAATGAAGAGCCAGCGTCCTGGTCTCCACCTGCACCTGCGTATATTATTCAATCACAGTAGACTCAGGATTCCCACCCTAAGCATTGTCTGCACTGAGGGCTGGGAAGAACTTAGGAAGGCCTGTGGCACTTCCCATGCCCCTGGAAGGGATGCCTGTATCCACATCTTACTCCTTGTCTTACTCCCTCCCTGTGCTGGGCCGCAGAGCCCCACAGAGCTGGCTTTGTCCAGCACCAATCATTCACACTACACTCGGAAGCCACTGCAACCAGCCAGCCCACCTTGTATCCTTGTTACCAGGGTCTCCGTGCCCCATCCCATACCTCGCCAGTGCTCTGACCCTGGTATGGTTGTGCTCAGCCCCAGCTCTGACCCAAACTCCCTCCTGGAAGACGTTCCCTGGGCCACATGACATTCTGTGCCATCAGCACTCCTTCTCCCATAGCCTCACCCTTGTTGATTGGAGTCCAACATCGGCGTTGAAGGTAAAAGAGTGGCGGGATTAGGAGGGGAGCCTCTATGAAGAGAGATAGAAGACTGAAAGTTCTCTCACCATGTTTCAAACATTTGACCTTTAATTCAGCAGCAAGGAGAGTGAGAGGGAGCAGCAAGTGAGGTGGGAGGAGTACGGGGTGGGGGGAGTGGAGCCCCAGGAGCTGGGTGAGGAATGTGATGGGGTGGGAGTGAGCAGGTGTGTCCCACGGTGTTGAGAGTCAGGGAAGGGGAGGACTCCACATTCACTGTTGATTTAGGCACACGGATGCCCCGGGAAGCCTGGCACAAGCTGTCCACGAGGACCAGCAGAAGTGAAATCAACCAGAGTGGCTTCAAAAGAAATCGGAAAAAAGAGACAGAAACAGCAAGCCTGGGCAGCTTTGGGGTTGTCGATTAATTAGTGTAAGTCATGCTAGCTTCTCTCACAAGGAACCAACATCTCTGTGGCTAAACACTAGATTTTAGTTTTCGCTCAAGTTGATCGAGTCTAATGGGGTGCGAATTTGGGGGTAGGGGTGAGAGATCCCTGTTCCACACAGTCTTGTAAGGACAGCTTCCTTCAAATCTCCCCATCTCTAAGGTCCTCTGCATGTGCCCGGCACACAGGGCCATGCTCTGCTGGTGGTGGCGTTCACGGGCTGGGGAGGAGTTGGGTCACTCCCAGAAATGTTTCATCACCAGCACTCAGTCACATGGCCGGCCGTCACCGCAAGGGACGTCTAGAAATGCTGACTAACTTGGAGGGACAGGAATGGTCAACTTTACGTCAACTTGACTGGGCTAAGGGGTGCCCAGGTTGCTGGTAAGGCATTATTTCTGGATATGTCTGTGGGGAAGTTCCTGAAAGAGACCAGCATTTTAATTGGTGAACTGAGTAAAGCAGGTGGCCTTCCCCAGGGTGGGTGGACTTCACCCAATCTCTGGAGGGCCTGAGCAGGACAAAAAGGCCAAGGAACGGAGACTGCTCTCTCTGTGTGTCTGACAGACGAAGCTGAGGTATGGCTCCTCTACCTGACAGCTGGACTCCTGCTGGCAGATCATGTGGGCCTCTCACGGGCGACGGTAGATTCTGAGGCCTCTCACGGTGGACGGTAGATTCTGAGGCCTCTCACGGTGGACGGTAGATTCTGAGGCCTCTCACGGTGGACGGTAGATTCTGAGGCCTCTCACGGTGGACGGTAGATTTCGGGGCCTCTCATGGTGGACGGTAGATTCTGAGGCCTCTCACGGGGGACAGTAGATTCTGAGGCCTCTCACGGTGGACGGTAGATTTCGGGGCCTCTCACGGTGGACGGTAGATTCTGAGGCCTCTCACGGGGGATGGTAGATTCTGAGGCCTCTCACGGGGGACGGTAGATTCTGAGGCCTCTCACGGTGGACGGTAGATTCTGAGGCCTCTCACGGTGGACGGTAGATTTCGGGGCCTCTCATGGTGGACGGTAGATTCTGAGGCCTCTCACGGGGGACAGTAGATTCTGAGGCCTCTCACGGTGGACGGTAGATTTCGGGGCCTCTCACGGTGGACGGTAGATTCTGAGGCCTCTCACGGTGGACGGTAGATTCTGAGGCCTCTCACGGTGGACGGTAGATTTCGGGGCCTCTCACGGTGGACGGTAGATTTCGGGGCCTCTCACGGGGACGGTAGATTCTGAGGCCTCTCACGGGGGATGGTAGATTCTGAGGCCTCTCACGGGGGACGGTAGATTCTGAGGCCTCTCACGGGGGACGGTAGATTCTGAGGCCTCTCACGGGGGACGGTAGATTCTGAGGCCTCTCACGGTGGACGGTAGATTCTGAGGCCTCTCACGGTGGACGGTAGATTTCGGGGCCTCTCACGGTGGACGGTAGATTCTGAGGCCTCTCACGGGGATGGTAGATTTCGGGGCCTCTCACGGTGGACGGTAGATTTCGGGGCCTCTCACGGTGGATGGTAGATTCTGAGGCCTCTCATGGGGACGGTAGATTCTGAGGCCTCTCACGGGGGATGGTAGATTCTGAGGCCTCTCACGGTGGACGGTAGATTTCGGGGCCTCTCACGGTGGACGGTAGATTCTGAGGCCTCTCACGGGGGACGGTAGATTCTGAGGCCTCTCACGGTGGACGGTAGATTTCGGGGCCTCTCACGGGGGATGGTAGATTCTGAGGCCTCTCACGGGGGATGGTAGATTTCGGGGCCTCTCACGGTGGACGGTAGATTCTGAGGCCTCTCATGGGGGACGGTAGATTCTGAGGCCTCTCACGGTGGACGGTAGATTCTGAGGCCTCTCACGGGGGATGGTAGATTCTGAGGCCTCTCACCGGGGACGGTAGATTCTGAGGCCTCTCACGGGGGATGGTAGATTTCGGGGCCTCTCACGGTGGACGGTAGATTCTGAGGCCTCTCACGGGGGACGGTAGATTCTGAGGCCTCTCATGGGGGATGGTAGATTCTGAGGCCTCTCACCGGGGACGGTAGATTCTGAGGCCTCTCACGGGGGATGGTAGATTTCAGGGCCTCTCACGGGGACGGTAGATTCTGAGGCCTCTCACGGGGGATGGTAGATTCTGAGGCCTCTCACGGTGGACGGTAGATTCTGAGGCCTCTCACGGTGGACGGTAGATTTTGGGGCCTCTCACGGTGGACGGTAGATTCTGAGGCCTCTCACGGGGGACGGTAGATTCTGAGGCCTCTCACGGGGGATGGTAGATTCTGAGGCCTCTCACGGGGGATGGTAGATTTCGGGGCCTCTCACGGGGACGGTAGATTCTGAGGCCTCTCACGGGGATGGTAGATTCTGAGGCCTCTCACGGTGGACGGTAGATTCTGAGGCCTCTCACGGTGGACGGTAGATTCTGAGGCCTCTCACGGGGGACGGTAGATTTCGGGGCCTCTCACGGTGGACGGTAGATTTCGGGGCCTCTCACGGGGACGGTAGATTCTGAGGCCTCTCACGGTGGACGGTAGATTCTGAGGCCTCTCACGGGGACGGTAGATTCTGAGGCCTCTCACGGGGACGGTAGATTCTGAGGCCTCTCACGGGGGACGGTAGATTCTGAGGCCTCTCACGGGGGACGGTAGATTCTGAGGCCTCTCACGGGGGACGGTAGATTCTGAGGCCTCTCACGGGGGACGGTAGATTCTGAGGCCTCTCACGGGGGACGGTAGATTCTGAGGCCTCTCACGGTGGATGGTAGATTTCGGGGCCTCTCACGGTGGACGGTAATTTGTGGAGATTTTCAGCCTCTGTAGTCACATGGGCCATTTCCTTAAGGTAAATCTCACCCTAGATAAAGGTATGGCTCCCACCAGTTCTGTTTTTCTGAGAGCCCTGACTCTACACACAGTTGAGAGGGTTGGTAGATATCCACACCATGCCTGCCCCAGAAGAACGGAGTCACTAGCTGGTGGGGAACGTGGTATAGACAGGGAGACTTTACATAAAGATTGGCACATGATAGAGGGTTTTTGATGCTGATAGGAAGGATTCAGCTGAGGGATGCCTGTGGGTCATGAGCCCCCAGTGGACTGAAAGGGAGAGATTTAATGGCGTGGGGGGAGAGAGAGCTGCTGCAGACATGTGCTTGATTTAGTGAGGGGGATGGGACCCAGGGCATGAAGCCCCACAGCAGTGGTTTGGGCAGCAGCGTGTTGGGTTTACCTCTGGCAAGAGGTGAGTAGGTGGAAGCAAGTCCTAGTTGGGTCCTGATGGGGCCAGAGAAGGTTCTCTTCTCATGGGTCTCAGTCATCCCCGATCAGGATGAGGGAAGTGAGGGTCATGGAGTTACCAGGGGAATGCACTGGCGATTAAACCGTGCTGAGAAGGAAGAGGAACTGCCACCAACTTATCCCACAGTGACGCCTCTTGGCTTTTGAGTGGATGCCACCTTTTAAAGGATGCAGCTTTCTCAGTATTTGCTCCCTCAACCACGTCCTGACTCTAACCTTCCACATTTATGTCAATAGCATAATTGCTTACATTTTTATTTTATTTTATTTTACTTATTTTATTATGAGACAGGATCTCACTCTGTCACCCAGGCTGGAGTGCAGTGGTGTGATCATGGCTCACTGAAGCCTCAAACTCCTGGGCTCCAGCGATCCTCCCGCTTCAGCCTCCCAAGTCACTGGGATTGAGTGAGCTTTCATTTAAGACACAAACTTAAACACTATTCTTGAGTTTTCTCTCTCAGACCCAACACCAGTCCACTGGGGTCCAGCAAGCTTCACGTTCTGCAGGTGTCCCGAGCTGATCCCTTCTCGCCCCTCACCCCGGTGCCAGTTGCTGGTCCCCTCTCCCTTCCCCCAGCTGCCCTCCCGACCACACCCCACATTTCCTGGACCAAACAGTGATCCTTAAGAAGACGGCATCATTTACATCATGCCACTCCCTTTCTCAAAATTCTTCACCATCTTTCCTTCCAACTAGGAGCTCAAACCCAAATCCTGAAACAAGCACGCCCCAGGTTTTCAACCCCAAATTCCTAAACAAGCACGCCCCAGGTTTTCAAACCCAAATCCCTAAACAAGCACGCCCCAGGTTTTCAGAGCCACACTGGCGTTTTCAGCTGCAAACTCCCCCACCCACCACCCACCATTCTGCTTGGGTTGTCAGAAAATTGGCCAAATTCTCTTATTCATTCTACTATTTTAAAATTTCTATGTTCACAATGATATGATCTAAAACTGCAGATGATATCCATCTTCCTTGCTGTTTTCCTTCCGATCCTTTTGCTTAGTTTTTTCACCTTGTTTTTCCGGGACCCCCTGCTGCTGACGCCAATGCTGGGGTCTCGGGTGTTCCTTCTCATCTCGCTCCTGACTTGGGGAGGCAGATTTCAACATGGAACAGCAGGTAGGGTTTTGCTGCAGCTTTTTGTTTCGTCTTTATTCTGTTTTGTATCTGAACTCTGTTAGCTTTACGACTTTCCCTTTTATCTGGAGCACGTGGATCCATTCTGTGTTTCAGGGTGGGGTTTTACTCTTCTGCTGAGGGTGTGGCCTTTTCTGATCCCGGCTTTAGGAGAGGATGACTTCCTGTCGAAGCCCTCACTTTCCCAGGTCTCCAAACTTTAAGAGATCATGAAATTCCCGTTCACCTTTCCTTGGTTTAGCTGACATCTTGGGACAAAAGCTGGGCTGTGCTTGGCCACACCCTCTGTGTCACAGGCTTATAGTCTACCTTGATCATCGCTCTCTAACATGTCTGCTAGTCAATCATTTTTAAATATGCTTCTTAGGGTTCCTTCTGCATTCTGTTACTCTCACAGGGAAAGCTGATCTGAGCGACGTGCTGTGCTCCAGCACTGGGAAGCTCTCTGCAGAACCTCACTGCTGCTCTTTCCTGTCCTCTTCTTAAAAACAATGATTGTGAGTCTCTATCTTTCAGAAGACCATTTTCTATATCTTACAATGAGATTTCAAGAAAGAGTCAGAAGAGATAGGTTAGTGTTATCCATTGTCTTTGTGCAAATCCCAGCCCCTTTTTTGCCCTGCACCGCGACGTTCTCCTCCTGACCGAGAAAAACATGTGGAGGGAGATCACATAATAAAGTGGGGGATCTCCAGCTGAACAGAGACTCAGAAAGAAAGCACTTAGAAAACTGTCAGGGGAGTTTTCCCTGGCACATTCAATTACATGTTGACACTTCAATAAAATAAAATGATTCAAAGTTTATGGATTTTAAAGAAACATACCCAAACTTATACACTGAAAAGTGGTTGTGCCCTTCAAGATAATCCCTTTGGAAGGATGCATACTTCCAAAATGAGGCAATGAGAGTTACAAAAAAATATCTTGGGGCCTCTCTTTCTCTCTCTATTTTTTTTTTTTTGAGACAGAGTCTTGCTCTGTCACCCAGGCTAGCGTGCAGTGGTACGATCTTGGTTCACCTCCGCTTCCCAGGTCCAAGTGATTCTCCTGCGTTAGCTTCCCAAGTAGCTGGGATTACAGGCACTTGCCACCATGCTCAGCTAATTTTTGTATTTTTTGTAGAGAAAAGGTTTCACCATATTGGCCAGGCTGATCTTGAACTCCTGACCTCAGGTGATCCATCCGCCTTGGCCTCCTAAGATGCTGGGATTACAGGTGTCTCTTTTTTTGAATGCTAGCCATGTATCCTATGACGGTGGAGTTGACTTTTTGAAAACAGTCAACATTAGATTCAGTCAAGTATGGTGAATAGGAAATGTTCAATTAGCATGTCGTCATTTTTGATAACTCTGTATGTGTGTGTGCAATTAAAGAAATGTAGTTATCGGCAGTTTCTTATATAACTGGAGGTATTTCTAAAAGGGGGTTTTGTTAGATATTGAGAGGGTGTTTGGAAATGCAATGGAGGTGATTGGTTTAGCTTCCAGGGTGACTGACACTAGTCCCGGACCCCTCAGTCGTGGCCCTCGGAAGGAAGCCCAGGATGCATCGGGGTCTTTCCACCTCCTTGCAGTTCTGAGCACTCTTAGGATGTTCCAACTGCTTCTTGGATTTCTTGTTAACTTCCTGTTCTTTAAACAATCTCTTCTTTTCTTATATCTTGCCTTGTTCCAGGAGTAGTTTCCTGATAAGAAAAGCTCACCAGACTGTCTCAACTTCTAGACTCCTGCTTTGTGAGACTGCTGGCTTCCTAGAGTTGTGCCAGATCAGCTCCCGGGAGAGGTAAACGTTATTAGCAGGTGCACTGAGGCTGTTATCTGCTAACAGCATCCAGCAGGAAAATGAGACAAAAGGAAAAAGGATGTTTATTTTAAATTTAGTGTAAAATTATATAAATACATAAAGCCACGGAGAAATTAGATATCTCTAAGCAAAAGAAGAAACCTCAGCCTCACACCTTCTACAAAAATTAACTAAAAATGGATCACAGATTCAAATATAAAACATAAAACTACACATTTAGACAATAACATAGTGCAAAATCTTTAAGACCTAGAGTTTGCAAATATGTCACCAAAACCACAATCCATAAAATAAATAAATCAATAAATTGGATTTCATCAAAAAAGCCTTTGCTCTGTTAAGGACTTTGTTAGCCATAAGATCATGTGCAGAGAAGGACCCTGTTGAGACAAGATACAGACTGGAAGAATATATTTGCAAACCACGTATCTGACAAAGGATCATTATCTAGACATGTAAAGAACACTTAAACGTGACAGTAAAGCAAACAAGCCAATTAGAAAATGGGCAAAAGACATGAACAGACATTTCACTAGAAAGGATCTGTGGATGGTGAAAAAGCACATGGAAAGATGTTCAACATTACTCGCTGTTAGAGAGATGCGATGGGTTCTTATTACACAGCTAAATTAGAAAAGAGTGATCGCACCAGACGCCGGTAAGGACATGGAGAAACAGGATCATCCACACATTGCTGGTGTGGATATCAAAGGTGCAGGCCACTCCGGAGAACAGGCAGCTCCTTAGAAACTAAACATACACTTCCCAGTATGACCTGGCAACTGCTCTCCTGGCCATTTATTCCAGAGAAATGAAAACTTCCATTTGCAGAAATAACCATGTATGGTCACTCATGGCAGCATTATCTGTAATAGCACAAAAAAAAAAAAAAAAAAAAAAGGAACTCTCCAAAATGCCCCTCACTCGGTGGACGGGTAGGCAAGCTGTGGTCATCCACACCCAGGAGTATTACTCAGCCTCAGCAAAGACAGCAACAAGCTACGGGTAGATCTCAAGGGCATTATGCTGAACAAAAGAAGCCAAACCCAAAAGGTCCTATACTGTAGAATTCAATTCATATAACATTATCAAAATGACAAAATGACAGCGATAGGAAACAGATTGGTGGCTGTGGTGAGCTAGAGATGGTGGAGTTGGAGCGGGGAGGAGGTTGTGACTGTAAACACGTAAGTATTCCTGTTCCAGGGTTACCATAACACACGATCACAAACTGGGTGGCTTAAAACAATCGGAATTTATCTTCTTACCATTCTGAAAACTATGAGTCTGAAATCAAGGCGTGGACAGGGCCACATTCCCTCTGAGGCCCTAGGGGGGATTTGTATCCCTCTCCCCTCTTCCGGCTTCCAGGGGCTGCTGAGCATTCTTGGCATCCTTGGCTTCTAAATGCATCCAGCCAGCCTTTGCATCTGTCTTCGCATGGCCTCCCCCGGTGTGGACTTCTGTGCCTCTTCCCCGCTTCTCATGAGGAGACCAGTCATTGGATTTGGAGCCCGCCTGACTCCCGTATGACTTCATCCGTCTTCTCTTGATTACATCCGTAAGGACCCTATTTTCAAATAAGGTCATAGTCAGCATTAGTGGGGGCAAGGACTCCAACCTATTGTTTTGGGGGACAGAATTCCACAAGGCAGCTCCAGGGAGATCTTAATGGTGATAAAATGTCCTGTATGTAGATCACAGAGGTGGCTGCACAGATGTGCACAGGGGGTCACATGGAAGCAGGCACACCTTGTACCAGGGACAGCTCCCTGGGTTTGTGTTGTGCTGTAATCATGCAGGATGCTCCCATTGGGAGAAGTTGTACAAAGGAGACACAGGACATCTCTGTAGTATCTTTCCAACTACTCTATGAATCCAAAAATATTTTAAAATACAAATTTTAAAAAGGAAACAAAAATATGTCATTTCTACCTTCCCCCTCTGCTTGCATCCACAGGTCAAAGTAAGTCACATGATCCCTGCTGTGTGGGAGACACGCACACCCCACAAACAAACACACCCCACATCTATGTCATTTGCAGGCTGACTTGAGTTGTAAAACAGTTCTGGGCATGAACGTGTGGTTATCTCTGTAGAAGCAGACAGGGCTTTCTTCCAGCCAGAAAATTCACAGTTCAGTTGAGGAAATGATGAACATCAATTGAAAAACAATTCCAAAATACTTCACAAAATTGCCTTTCCCGGGTCTTCACTTGCTTCTCTCTTTTTACACTTGGCCAATGGGTCAGACCCCATTTCCCCAAGTGATCAAGAATCAGTGAATGAGCTGAATCTTTGAGAACAATTCGAGTCCTCGAGGCCTTTCAACTCTGCTAGGAAACACTCATTTCATGGTGAGTCCAGTGTCTTTCAGTGAAATTTGGTTTTCCTTCAAAGCCGTCCGCATGTATTGTGTTTAGAAACCCGCAGGAAAGCCTGGGAGATTTAGCATCCATGTGCTCACCACAATAGTTTATGGTGTCAGCTTATTTTTGATGTGGATTTTCTTTTGAAGTGCCTTGGAGCTAATGATTCATTTTGGAAAGAAAATAAAATAACCAACACATTTATATTCCATTTTGTTTACTAATATGATAAGGCAGTTGCTTTTCCTGTAGACCTAACAGAAACTCTTTTAAAACCTCATCATGTGGAAGTTAAAAATACGGCTTTAGCAGTAAACGTAAATGCAGCACAGCTTCATGGAAACATCTCTGAACCTGCTGGCTACCCTGGCTGTCAGGGTTGGATGGCATGCAAAGCGACATATGTATTTCCTGTCTCATTATTGATGACCGTTGCATAGGACCCATACGTTATTCTCTGTTAGTGTCATACACTCAGGCAAAAGGGTTGAGACGTTAATGGGTAGTTTTCCTGAGTTCTGATGTTTCGATTGTGCAAGCCAAACTCACAGTGTGGAAAATGGAACATTTTATGAAGTTCATACATTTTCAAAATTGCTCCTACAATGATGCCTTTGTTTTGTGTTAGGACTGGAATGATGGCTTCTATCTGTTCCAAAGAACTCCAATATTGCCTCAAGTGAAGAGGAAAGCCTCATATTTCAAGGCCACTGACTGGAGCCCATTCACATGCCGCAAGGGGACGGATGCCGTTGTTTTTTTTACGGCGAAGAAAACGGTGATGTATTGGAGTCTCATCACCCCGTCTCTCCATCATTGTTGGTGTGTGGATCAGCCAGTCTGGCTTGTGTAGCAGGATTAAAATGTTATGTCTCCCAGTGAGCTAGTGAATATCAACACTTTCCTTCTTTCTGTATGTGAAGTCCCTTTTCAGTGGATAAAGCCATTTGTTGACAGAATTATTGACATTTTTATGGGATTGTTTTTGGAAAAGGCTAACATGTAATTTCAAATTCAACATATGGTAGTGGTCAAATTGTGTTCCTACTGTGTAAAATGCCTGCATAATAACCTACTGCACTCTCTTGGCCGGTACACAGAGCAAAACTTGATTAATTTCACCAGCTTCCCTTAATCTCCTCCTTTGGCTCCCATCCCATTCTGCAAGAATTGATAAATCTTACATCCCCTGAAGATTATTACAGTTCCGAATAGTCTTATGACATTAGAAAGAAGCCAGGCTCAGTGGCACAAAATACATCTAACACATGAAATCACATAAATAATTTAGTTTTCACAATTTAATTTTTATAGTTTTTTTTGTTGTGGTTGCTACTATTATTGATGGGGTATACTAAGGACTGTTGGCTGACACTGCAGTTAAAAAATGGGGAATATTTTGACATCAAAAATGTCAATGTTGTTACTACCCTTCACTGTTGACCATGCTTAACGATTCAATTTCAGCCTAAGGTCGAGAATGTGTTCATAAATTATACCATCAGAGAGGCAGATGCAGAAAGAAAAAAATTAGCTCATTTTCTTATAAAAAATACTTTTCTCTCTTGAAAAATGAGCATGGGGCCAATTTTACACATCTCTGGTTCAAAATAACCTGCATCAACCTGGGATCATTAGTAACTATTTCTCCAGAATCCTGTGGCTCTTAACAGCAACGTATCTATTAAGCACCCTGCATGCCAGGGCCTCTGCTAAGCGCTGGGGTGGATGTCAGGCAATTATGATGCGTGCCCTTGTTCTCAGAGTTAATCCTTCATCAACACACACCCATTCAGTAGGTGATTGACAAAGGAACACAGAAAGTCTATTTGACACTATGGATGTAAAGATTGGCCTGGGATTTGTTTTATAATAGCTTTAAATTATTTCTTTTCTTTTCTTTTTTTCCTTTCCTTTCCTTTCCTTTCCTTTTCTCTTTCTCTTTCTTTCTCTTCCTTCCTTTCTCTTTCTTTCTTTCTTTCTCTCTCTTTCTTTCTTTCTCTTTCTTTCTTTCTTTCTTTCTCTCCCTTCCTTTCTCTCTTTCTTTCTTTCTTTCTTTCTTTCTTTCTTTCTTTCTTTCTTTCTTTCTTTCTTTCTTTCTTTCTTTCTTTCTTTCTTTCCTTCGTCTTTCTCTCCCTTCCTTCCTTTCTCTCTCTTTCTTTCTTTCTTTCTTTCTTTCTTTCTTTCTTTCTTTCTTTCTTTCTTTCTTTCTTTCCTCTATCTCTCTTTCTTTCTTTTTGTTTTTTTTTGACAAGGTCTTTGTAGCCCAGCTGAAGTGCAGTGGCACAATCACAGCTCACTGCAGCCTCAATCTCCTGGGCTCAAGTGATCCTGCTGCCTCAGCCTTCTGAGTAGCTGGGACCACGGGTGCACACCACCATATCTGGCTAATTTTTTATTTTAAAAATTTTTTTCATAGAGACTGAGGTCTTGTTATGTTGCCCAGGCTGGTCTTGAACTCCTGGCCTCAAGCTATCCTCCCACCTCAGCCTCTCGAACTTTGGGATCACAGGCATGAGCCACTGCACAGGAACCCAGATAAAAATATTTGTGGTAGCCAAGTGTGGTGCTGCGTGCCTATAATCCCAGCTACTTGGGAGTTGCTTGAACCCCAGAGGCGGAGGTTGCAGTGAGCCGAGATTGTGCCACTGTGCTCCAGCCTCCTCGACGGAGTGAGACTCTGTCTAAAAAAAAAAAAAAAAAAAAATGTGGTGAGCATTACGTAAAATGTTAGATTTACAATGTAATTAATGGAGATGTCATACTTAAAGTTATGTTGGGACAAGTCTGCTGTGTCACCATAACTTCTCAAACCTTGGTTGATTGAAACCAGGTCTAAAAGCTTAAAGAGATCTTAAGGCTTAGTTCTTCTTATAGAGAGATCTGAATTGCTTTTCCTTGAACATCTTATGGTGGGTGCAGTGCTAGTCCCTGGGAGTACAAGGCAGAGCCCAGAATACCCTAAGTACGGTCCAGTCTATCCTAAGAATGGCGGGGAAGGGGACATGAAGGGCACTGCCATTCATTGAATGCCTGACAAACTCTGTAGACAGATGTCAGTCATCTTACCTTGCACGCACACACGGAATCCTCCAAACTTAAAGACCTCCAGCAAGAGTTCATCGAGTCTCGTGAGTATGTGGGTGGGTGGACTGTGGTCCTTCTGCCTGCCCTGCATGTTGGGGCCCCAGCAGGGGTCCCCCAGTTCTCCTCCACATGTCCCCGTTCCTCTGATAGACCAGATGGCTTTTTCTACATGGCTCTGAGGGCCCCCAGAGAGTACATAGTTGCTGGATCTCTCATGGGCTTGGCCCAAAATTGGCACAGGACCACCTCTACTGCCTCCATTGGTCAAACCAAGTCACAAGGTGAGCCGGGGTTCAAGGCGGGGAAACAGACTACCGCTGGTGGAAAGAGGGGCGTTCAGGTGCTGGAGGGGGCTTGCTGGTGCCATCACTGCAGACACACCAACATCTGCCTCCATAGCATCCCTGTGTCATCTTAACAGCAATCATCTAAAAAAAAGGGGTTTCATTGTTTTTATTTTTCATGCTATTTTTTAGGTGAGAAAACTGAGGATTAGAGATATCAAGAAATAACTACCTGAAGTTCTCTAAACATCGGTGGGAGTACTCGTTAAACATCAAGGGGCTTCGGATAAGACAGACTGGCAATTAAATGCCTCTCCCATTTACTGCCTAGAAAACTGAGGGCAGTGTGTGTATCTTTTCTGCAGAATAAGGATACTGCCTATCTCGGAGCTGAGCAGGAAAGTGTAGGTGAGCTGCTCAGCCTAGGGCCTGTAAGTAGCCAGTCCTCAGGGTTTTTGTACGACTGAAGAACACTGAGCTGGTGGCCAGAAGCTGCGACTTCCAGTTCCAGTCAGTTGCTACCTGACTGTTAAAATTTGAAGAAATAATTTGAAGTCCCTAAAATAAATGTTTTAATTTATAAAAATGGGCTGAGTGCAGCGGCTCACACCTGTAATCCCAGCACTTTGGGAGGCCGAGGCGGGTAGATTACCTGAGGTCAGGAGTTCGAGACGAGCCTGACCAACGTGGTGAAATCCTGTCTCTACTAAAATTATAAAAATTAGCCGGGTGTGGTGGCATGTGCCTGTAATCCCAGCTACTTGGTAGGATGAGGCAGGAGAATCATTGAACCTGGGAGGTGGACGTTGCAGTGAGCTGAGATTGTGGCATTGCACTCCAGCCTGGGCAACAAGAGCGAAACTCCATCTCAAAAAAAAAAAAATTATACAAATGAAAATATTTGATGATCTTCAAGGTTCCTTCCTTGAACAGGTTTTTAAAATCAGTTCTATTTGCAAATTTAAAAACAACCAGGGTATCATGGTAATTAAAATCAGAGTGGAAAAGAGAGATGAAAATTAGCATGGTGTGTAAAGAACTATTGCCAAGCCGAAACAACAGAAAAGAATGTTTCCATAGATATATGGGAAAATTGTCAAGAATTGTCATAATAGACAATTAATGAAAGAATTGCAAGTGGTCAGCCCCATGATGGACACATACCTAACCTCAGTAATAATCAAAGATATTCAAATATAAACAAAGATAAGCTATTAATGTTCATTTGTTAAATTGTTAAATGTGGCTGGATGTGGCGGCTTACATCTGTAATCCCAGAATTTTGGGAGACTGAGTCAGGAGGATTTCTTAAGGCTAGTTTGAGACTAGTCTGCACAACATAGAAAGATCCTTTCGCTACAAAAAAATACAAAAATTAGTCAGGTGTGGTGGCACACACCTGCAGTCCCAGCCATGTGGGAGGCTGAGATGGGAGTAGTGCTTGAGTCCAGGATTTCGTATGAGCTCTGACTGCCACTACACTCCAGCCTGGGCAACAAGGCGAGACGCTGTCTCTGAAAACAATGTTGGTGGTATAGCATCAAAATCTTTCAAGGGGTCAGTTTGGCAATATTTATCAAGAGCATTAAGAATTTACCTCTGACCCAATAATTTCAGCCTTTTGAAATGGAGAGATGTGTGCGCCAATGACAAACACATTTATTGCAGCATAATTTGCAAAATTTCAACCCAGAATGCTACTTAAATATGCAAAAAAAAGATGGGGAACTTTAAATATATTACGATACATGTGATAAACAGCAAAACAGGCCTTAAAGTCTGTACTTTTAATAGTATTTCATACTCTGGGAAAACATTTGCCACAGGATAATGATGAATAAAAGAAGAAACCCAAACTACAAATGGAGTGTCATTTCAACTAAAGGAAAAGACAAACATGTTCCCAGAGAAAAATCCTCAGAAAAAGCGACACCAAAGTCTTGAGAGTGTCTATTTAAAAAACAGTTGCATAGCTGATGATTTTTACATTATTCTGTGTATTGTTCTGAATGTTCAAAACTGTAGCGAACCTGCAAACTTTGTGATTAACAACAACAGCAAAACCACAGAAAATGCAAAAACATGTCTCTTCAGCTATTCTGTGAATCTCTTGAGCATCACAACTTTAGGGACCACCTGCTGTGCCCCCCATAGCACTTCCTAGCACTGTCCCTCCTAAGCTGGGTTAGGGTCACACTGAGAAACCACACTCAGAACCTACTAGTGAATAGTAGGTTAATAAAACAAAGGTATAACTAGGCTTTCTTGGAGGCAAAACTACAGGTGTCTTTCATTCTTCTTCAGTCCTAAATGCAAATCATTTCTCACGCTCTTTTTAAAATGGATGTTAGGCTGGGCGAGGTGACTCACTCCCATCATCCCAGTACTTTGGGAGGCTGGGCTGGGCAGATGGTTTGAGCCTAGAACACCAGCCTGGGCAACAGGACGAAACACCATATCTATAGAAAAATCAAATCGATCGATAAATAAAATAGATGTTATTTTTCAGAG